GACCACCACCCCGCTCCCCACCACCCCCCTTGAGGAAAAAGGCCACCCGCCCTGACCCCGCCCTCTCCACGCTCCGCCCCCAGCACGAGCTGCAGCAGATCCGGCTGTGCTTCGAGAGGAAGAAGATGGCCATCACTGAGGTGCCTCTTGGACCCTATGGGACTTGGGGACATCCCTGGGCCCTGCTCCCCAAGGTGATACCCTGCCTCTCCCCACCAGGTGTGGGACGGCGTGGCTGAGGTGCACCTGGCACTGAGCAACCAGGCCACCGGGCTGCTGGTACGTCCCCCTGAGGGGCGTGGCCTGAGGCTGAGCGGGCAGGGGGCCGCGGGAGGGCGGACGGACATGGAGGACTGGACGTGGAGGACCCGATTCCACCCCCCAGAACCTCAAGAAGGACATCCGGGGCGTGCTGGAGCAGATGGAGGACATCCAGCTGGAGATTCTGGGGTGAATAATGTTAAGGGCTCGGGTCCGAGCCAGGACCTGGCAGGAGCCTAGTCAGGGTGGGGTGGACCCGTGGACCCACCCATCAGGCCTGGCCCAGTTCTGTGGCACCAAGCAAGGGCAGGGCCAGGCTGGGACTGGGGTTGGGCCGCCGACTCACCCCGCTGACTGCAAAGTCCCCCAACAGGGACCAGGCCCAGGGCCACCCCCGGGTCAAGAAGGAAGAGCAGCTGACTTGCATACCGGTAAGCCCACCCCCAACCCCCGCCCCTCTTCCAACCTGGACACCTACCCTCGCTCCCCCCATCCCCACTACTCCTCCACCCGCGGCACTGTGAGGCTGTCCCTGGATCTGAGTAGAGGGAGCTCTTCCTCGTGGCAGAGGGCAGGTGTGGGATATTACACAGGTGATGGAGCACTGAGCTAGCCGGGAGTCCCCGTCCCTCTCAGCATCACTCCCCACCCCCAGGCAGTCTCTGATCCAGCCCCCTCCCCAGCAGAAGGCGAAGCCACAGGTGGGCTGTTCGGAGGGCTTCAAAGGCCAGCTCTGGTAGGTCACCTGGAGGGCAGAGCCTGTCCCCCCACCCACCTGGCGGGTGCCCCCCTCCCCTGACCACTGCTGCCCACAGGCTGCTGGCCCTGAGACTGCTGCTGGGTGCCCTGCTGGCCTGCATCACCGCCTACGTGTACGTGGTGGACCCCATGCCCTTCGAAGGGCTGGTGCCACCCTTGCTGAGCCGAGCCGCCGTCTGGAAGCTCCGGGGCCTCCTGGGCCCCTTTCTGCACCTCGAGGTGGACGACTTCCTGCCCTTCTAGGACAGAGGACAGAGGCTGGCGGCCCCAGCAAGGAGGAGGTCTGTGGCCAGCGGCATGACCGGCGTCGCCCAGCTATTGCTCCAGCCCCTGTCCAGGGCAGCACCGCATCCCCGCCACAAGACTTGAAAGAGGATGGAGGCTGGGTCTGTCCCGAGGGCTGGGCCTGGGGCCGGACATATAATCATGACACCCAGGCTGTGTGTGTGAGTACATGTTCATAGATGTGGGGGTGGGGGACTCAAGACATCTCACTGACTCCACCAGCAGGGAGCCGCTCACCCTGCTCATCTGTCCACTGCCCCATCCAGAGGACAGGTGGGGATGACAGCTCTGGGCACCTTGGGCCACGTGACCTGAGGGGCAGGCCCAAGCACCCCCTTCCACTGACCCACTGATTTCACACCCCTCAGGTAACCAACCCTCTGCCCTTCTGACACTGTCTTCTCCCTGCTTCTGCCCCTTCCCCCAGCCCAGGCACTGTCCAAAGGCTCGAGAATGGGGACCATGGTGATAGCATAGCCATGCAAGTAAACACCAAAAATTTATTTGTTGAGCTAAAGTGGGGGTTGGGGTTTTAGAACATTATAGAATAGCTTTATCCCCAAATAGGAGAAATAGAACTTATTGCCCCCAGGTATTGCCCCTTGGCACACCCAGCCTGGGACCCTGTGTAGGCAAACTGACCCCAGGCCCTGCCTTGCCTGTTGGCCCTGGGTGGGGTGTGGGGGCGCCTGCAGCGCTGTGGACCCGAGGAGCCCGTCAGACTGTTCATGTTCAGAGGATAAGCCAGCCGGGCATCGAAGGGTGCAGGTGGTCAGGCAAGGACCTGTGTGGGAGGGAGTCTTCTCCCAGGCTGGTGGCTCCAGGAGGTTAAGGCATCTGTTCATGTGCTGGGGCTGGGGACACAGAATGACCGTGTGGGGCAACCTGAGACAACCCCCCCACCCGGCCCAGCCCACCTCACCTAGGGCTGGGGGTGAATGGGTGGGGAGCAGACTCCAAACAGCAGAGGGCCTGGGTGATGGACTAGACACTCTGGCAGGGCCTGCTGGGTCAGGCTGCTGCCAGGGATGGGGAGAGGGGGCCACATGGGGTGTTGGACCCTGGCAGCAGGCAGGAACTTCCTGAGGTCATGGGCCCTGCTGGGCTGGAAGTGGGTTATGGTGCAGCTGGTAGGAGAGGTGAGCCCCCAGGCCACACCCAGTCCTGCCCTAAGGTCTGTGCAGCATGGCATCCTGGGGGCCGGCCAATTGCCCTTGGTCCCAGGGCTGTCTACTTGGCGTCCCGCTC